TAATATTTATTTTTTAGTTCTCGGCGGACACAACATCTTTGTTGGTATGTGGTGCTGAGGATCGAACCCGGGCCGCACGCATGCCAGGCGAGCGCGCTACCGCTTGAGCCACATCCCCAGCCCTGTCTGAAACTTATGAATAGGAAGAGATCTATACTCTTCACAAAAGTTTAGAATAGGAGAAAAAAGACTGGCACATTGATATGGCCATTTGGGACATATGTGTGATTGGGTCACGCAGGCCTATTATGGAATCCAGTTTTACTTAGGTTATTTATCTTGAGCTTGTGATGAAGGGAACTATTTAGCTAAACATTTTATTTCCCTCTTCCTCCAGGCAAACATAGACCCTCCCAAGCTGAGTAGAGATGAGCAGCGGGGAAGAGGTGCCCTCTTACAGGACATTTGCAAAGGGACCAAACTGAAGAAGGTGACCAACATTAATGATCGGAGTGCTCCTGTCCTCGAGAGTGAGTCTAAGCTTCATTTCCTAGTGAGACACGAGGATTCCAAAATTGACTTGGAGATTTATCTGGGCTGTCATTTTTATTATTGAGTCTTGAGTGAGAAACTTTTGTCCTGGGACTTCCATTGGCTCTTCCTGTTTGCTCATTTGAATACTTAAAAATTTCTTCCTGACCCTTGACAAGTATTCTCCAAGTTAAGACTCCCACCTTCTAATGCTTGTTGGGACACATCTTTGGCTGTTTTTTGAGGAGACTACTACATTCCTAGAAACCTCTTGACTGAAACCAAACATGATTTTATAATTGATACAAGTTTCCATTCCTGTAGTCCTCTGGAGAGTTTCCTTGAACTGTTAGCTCCCTTACATCTGGGATTTGGAAAGGAGAGCCCAGAGAACTCTGTTGAACGTTTCTTTATCCCACTTGTTATCACTTCACCCTAAGTAAGAGAAGAATGGCTCCTTGTTCCTTTTGTTTTTTTCTCTTTCATCACAGTGAAGAGTTCCATCCCCATTTGAAGCTGTGGAGTAGAAAGGTCTAGCTTTTTTAAATGAAAAGGCAAAAAAAAAAAAAAAAAAAAGCAAGATTGGTTTGTTTGTGAATTAAAGCCCAGATAGAGGAGGGGTTTTGTCCTGGGGTTGACTGGTCATCAGCACAGACTATACGACATGAAAACTTAATGGTATGCTTTCCAGAGCCCAGAGGAAGCAGTGGTGGTTACGGCTCTGGAGCTGCTGCCCTGCAACCCAAGGGAGGTCTCTTCCAAGGAGGAGTGCCGAAGCTCCGCCCTGTAGGAGCCAAAGACGGTTCAGGTATCTGATAAATACTTTCTTAGGAGATTTCTAAAGTGCATTTGTTAATTTCTGACTTGTCCCAAGTAGGTCATCTGGAGTTGAGGACTGTGGTTGAGGTGGGAACAGAGGAGTAGTTACAGAATAAACAAAATTTGAGAGGTTAAATAAAAATGTATTCAGCTTAGGTAAAGAAAATGTGATAGATTTACAAAAGAATATTATTCGGCATTTAAATAGAAGGAAATTCTGTCATGCCTGTAATTCCTATACCACTGAGCCACAACCCCATATAGACATAAATAAGCTAGGAGGACAGTATTTTAAGTGAAATAAGCCAAATAGACACAGAAAGGTGAACACTGTATGATCTCACTTATATTTAGAATCTAAAATAATTGAATAAGGAAGTTGAGAATACAATGTTGGTTACTATTAGCTCGGGTAAGCCAGAGATATTGATCAAAAGGGGATAAGGACAGAGACATTAATCAAAGAGTAGAGAGTTTCAGTTAGACAGGAAAAATACATTTTAGTAATCTATTACATAGCATGGTAATTATAGTGAATAATAATATATATTTCAGAATTGCTGAAAGAGTGATTTTAAATGTTATTACTGTGAAGAAATAAATATTTGACACGCTAGGTTTGTTAATGAGCTTGATTTAATCCTTCCGCAGAGTATATATCACTTTGTATACCCCATAAGTATGTATAGGTATTATTTGCCAACTAAAAATAAAATCAAAAAAATTATTCAGCTTATATCAGCAAAAATTTTTAAATGATTCTGAGCCTAAAAATCAAATAAAAACTCAGAACTAAGTCTGGGAAGTAGCTCAGTGATAGAGGGAGTGCTTTATATTTGTCAAGCCCTGGGTTTGACTCTCAACACCACAAACAAAACAAATTCCAGAATTGTGAAGATTGCACTGAGGAGGCAGGTGAAGTAGAGATACTGTCTAATAGATACCTTGCTCTGTTGACCCAGTGTTGTCTGGTGTATTTGTAGAGAACATAGCTGGTAAGCCAGCGCTACAAGTCCCCAGTTCTAGAGCTGCTGCCCCAAGGCCTCCAGTATCTACAGCCAGTGGACGTCCGCAAGATGATACAGACAGTGGCCGAGCCTCCCTCCCAGAACTGCCCCGGATGCAGAGACCCTCTTTACCGGACCTTTCTCGGCCCAATACCACCAGCAGTACGGGCATGAAGCACAGCTCCTCCGCACCTCCCCCACCACCTCCAGGGCGTCGTGCCAACGCACCCCCTACACCTCTGCCTATGCACAGCAACAAAGCCCCAGCCTACAACCGAGAGAAACCCTTGCCACCGACACCTGGACAAAGGCTCCACCCTGGCCGAGAGGGCCCTCCTGCTCCCCCTCCAGTCAAACCACCTCCTTCCCCTGTGAATATCAGAACAGGACCAAGTGGCCAATCTCTGGCTCCTCCTCCGCCGCCTTACCGCCAACCTCCCGGGGTCCCCAATGGACCTTCCAGTCCCACTAATGAATCAGCCCCCGAGCTGCCTCAGAGACACAATTCTTTACATAGGAAGACACCCGGGCCTGTCAGAGGCCTAGCACCTCCTCCACCCACCTCAGCATCTCCCTCTTTATTGAGTAATAGGCCTCCTCCTCCAGCTCGAGACCCTCCTAGTAGAGGAGCAGGTAAGTGTTTCGAAACCCCTTTATTTCCTTTCATGATTTTTTTTTCACCTTGTTTTCCTCAGAGTGTCCCTTCAGTGATTGAGGAGAAGAATAATTCATACACTTGTATTATTGAGAGCCATTTTTTTGGTACCTGGGATTGAACCCAGGGATGCTTAACCACTGAGCCATATCCCCAGCCTATTTAAAAAAAAAAAAAAAAAAAAAAAAAACATGGTGTAATTTTTTTTTAAATACCTTTATTTTGTTTATTTATTTTTGTGTGGTGCTGGTGATCAAACCCGGTGCCTCATACATGCTAGGCAAGCGCTATACCACTGAGCTACAACCCCAGCCTCCCAGCCTGTTTTTTGTTTTTTGTTTTGTTTTTTACAGGGTTATGGAAAGTTGCTTAGGGCCTCACTAAGTTGCTGGGGCCAGCTTTGAACTTATGATCCTCCTGCCTCAGCCTCCTGAGACACTGGAATTACAGGCATGGGGCACTGCACTCAGCTTTGAGAGCGGTTTTATATGTCAGTCTCTGTTGTTAGGGAAACATGAGTAAATAGAAAAGATAAAAAATTCTTGTTCTGGATAAAGTAGTAAAACAAATATATAGTACATGGTCTACTTTGGAGAAACACAAAGGAGAGAAGAAATATGAGGGTGGGAATGAGGAAATACTTTGAGATGGAGGAGTAGGTAGAGTCAGGACAAAGCCTTACTGATACAATGATTTTTATTTTTTATTTTTATTTTTTTAGTTTTTGTTTTTTTGGTATTGGGAATTCAACCCAGGGGTGCTTTACTGCTGAGCCACATTTCTAGCCTTTTTTGTTTTTCATTTTGAGATAGAGTTTTGCTAAGTGGCTGACACTGATCTCAAACTTATGATCTTCCTGCCTTAGCTTCCTGAATTGCTGGGATTATTGGCATGTGCCACTGCACTCAGCATTTTTTTTTTTTTTTTTTTGGTACTGGGGAATTGAATTCGGGTGCTTAACCACTGAGCCACATCTCCAGCTCTTTTTATGTTTTAAACAGTGACAATTTGGCAAAGACCTGAAATAACGATGGGTAAGCTTAGAAATTCTCTGAAGAGTATAACCATTGCAGGCAGTGGGGACAAGTGAAGAGGCCTCAAGGCATGACTGTTTGTTTTTGTTTTTTTTAAAGGAGTATTTTTGACTCATTTTGGGGACAGTAAGGGAGGTCATTTTGACAGGATGAGAAGGAGTAAGGGGAAGAGTGGCAGGAGTGGAGGTGAGAAAACTAGATTTTCCTGAGAGATCATTGTAGGACTTTGAAGAGTTTGGACTGAACTCTGTGATGGGGAGCTACTGGGGGGCGGGGGTTAACAGAGAAGTAGTATTTATTTGATTTACTATTTAATGAGACCACTAGCTTCTGTGTTGAGAACAGACTGTAGGAAGATTGAGGTGGCAAAAAGGAGACCACTCAGGAGGCTGTTGGAATAAACTGGGCAGGTGGGTAAGACAGCAGCAGATTTGGGAGAGGAGTGCTGTTTGGTTTTTGGCATTAAATAAGTTTGAGATGCCTATTAGACGTCCAAGGAGAGAGAGTGAATTGGTGATTGAATGACACTTTAAAGTTTAGGGGAGAGATCTGGGCTAGAGAGGTTAATCTGAATGGCATCAAAAACCACATGCTTGATGATATCACCTAAGGAGGTAGTTATATATAGAAAATGTCTGTGGCTGGGGCCTCCTATGTTAGAGATGAAGCAAACCCAGCAGAGGAAATAAAAATCCTCTAATGAGGAAGGAGGGAGAAAAACCAAGAGAGTGATGGAAAAACCTCAAGGTAAAGTGAGCACCTCTTTTCAATGCTGTTGAAGGGTCTGGTAAGTTGGAGGCTGAGAACTGACGTTGGTCTTAGTATCAGAGGACCAAAACAAACAAACCAACAAACCAGCAGAGTGGGAACAATTTACCTGAATAGTCTTTGAGGAGACAGGAGGAAATGGGATCTGATCTATAGGTAAGGGGTCTTCCATAGAAACAAGAGAATAAGTAGTGCAGTAGTAGGAGCTTGTGAAGTTTCTTCTAATTTGCTTGTTTTCACAGTGAAGAACATCAGCTATAAGTGATAGGGAAGGAGAGGACAGTTTGAGGATAGAGAGAAAAGGCATGAATGGCCATCTGGAACGCAGGAGTTGAATGGACTAGCATTCTAGGGTAGCTAAAATGTAAAAGGCCTACTTCAGATTAGGGGCCATATGTTTTAAGTAAGAGTAATCAACATGGTGTGTGTTCAGCAGTGCATTTGCAGGTACAGAATAAGGTGCAGAATTGTAGGTAACCAGTGTTGGCATTTTTTGGGCATGTGTGATTGTAAGGGAGAGTGGGGTGTGGGTATATAAAGCTGTATTCCTATGTTATTGGACTTTGAACCATTCCTCCCAAAAGTGGCTGTTAAGCTCTATGTGAACATATATTAATCTTTATATATATAGAATGTTGATAAAGAAATTGTCACTGGGCATGGTATCATATGCCTGTAGTCTAAGTTACTCAGGAGACTGAGGCAGAAAGATCTCTTGAGCCCAGGAGTTTGAGGCCAGTTTGGGCAGCATAGTAAGATACTGTTTCAACAACAAAAGTCTTGTCTTCAAGAAGTATGCATTATAAGCCCATTAAGCCGGGCATGGTGACACACGTCTGTAATCCCAGCTACTTGGAATGTTGAGGCAGGAGGATGGAAGGTTTAAAACCAGCCTCAGCAATTTAGTGAGGCCCTGAGCAACTTAGCAAGACCCTATCTCAAATAAAACATAAAAAGGGCTGGGGATGTAGTTAAGTGCCCTGGGTTCAATCCCTGGTACCAAAAAAAAAAAAAAAAGAAAAAGTCCATTAACCTGTGCTGCTGCTTAGTTAGGTACATACAGATTTGTACTTTAGGAGTTGGCAATCTAATAAAGGCCAAACAGTAGTCCACACGTTTTTGACCCATATTTCCTTAGTTTTTGCCACAAGGATATGGTCCTAAGGTGGCCCTTGATTCTAAGAAGTTCAGTTTTAATTAATTATTATTATTTTTTGTGTGTGAGAGAGATTGGGGGTTGAACCCAGGGGCACTCTACCAATGAGCTGCATCCCTAGCCCTTTTTTTTAAATTTTAAGACTGAGTCTTGCTAAGTTGTCGAGGCTGGCCTAGACCTTGCAATCCTTCTATTCTAGCCTCCTGAGTTCTTGGGCTTACAGGTGTGTGCCACCATATCTGGCCTATTTTTTTTTTTTTTAATTTAATGATTTCTTTAAAAAGACACTTTATTTGGGAAAAGCTTGTTATCTTTCAAACCCATCCAGGAGAGAAGAAGAGAAAAACACAATTTCTGTATGGTTTGAATAGTCTATAGACGTCTTGCTTCTCACATCTCAGTTCTATGTGCTTTGTTTGGAAAATTTTGAAATTATGATCTTTGTTCTTCTGTCTAGTTAGCCATTACCAATGTTGGACTGGGAGAGGCCTCGGCTTATGTCTCATCAGTAACCAGAACAGTAGTTCTTTTTTTATCTATTTTATTTTTTTAGTTATAGACAAACACAATACATTTCTTTATTCATTTATTTTTACTCGGTACTGAGGATTAAACCCAGTGCCTCACATGTACTAGGCAAGTGCTCTGTCACTGAGCTACAGACCCAGCCCAAAACAGCAATTCTTTTTTTTTTTTAGTTGTCAGTGGACCTTTATTTTGCTTTTTATTTATATGTGATGCTGAGAATCAAATCCAGTGCCTCCCAATGTCCGGCAAGCACTCTATCACTGAACTACAACCCCAGCCAGAGAACAGCAATTTTTAAGAGTTGTACATTGGGAAAAAAAGATATTTTTATCTGAGGTTTTCTGAGTAGTGACTCTATTTGTTGTATGGCTTTGGGCAGATTGCTCTGATTTTCTGTTTCTTTACTTATCTGTAAGTGATTCAGCTATGGTGGCACAGCCCTACCTGTAATCCCAGTAACTTGGGAGGCTGAGGCAGGAGGATCACAAGTTCCAGACTAGCTTCAGTAGCCTAACAAGACCCTGTCTCAAAATAAAAAGTAAAAAGAGCTGGGGGTGTAGCTAAGTGTCACAGCATCCCTGCATTCAATCTCCAGTATTGCAAAAATAAATTAATTAAAATTAAAAACATAATAAACTAAATAAAAATATGTGTGAAAATGTGAGGTGCTGATGAATTTTACTGGTTTTATATAAATTGCTTCTAGGTATGGACTTACCTTTTTAGATAATATTGTGGCACTATTATGTGATAATGTCCTTTTGTTTCTATATGAATTATTTATATTTGAAAGCATGGAATCTTTAACTTCTCAAGAGTGCTCAGCCACCAAAAAACTTGGTTTTATTGATCCACAGAATTTATTTTCTTAAATTTTCCTTTGAGGAGTAAAATACAGTCCTTTTTTAAGGGAATCAAAAGAGAAAATTGATCCATCATGTTTTCTTCAAAACTCGGATTATTTTGGATTCCAAAAGGCTGTCTCCTACCCCAGGGCTTCTTTTGCAAGCTGATTGTTTTTTTAGGGTCTTTGGACTCTTGCTCTGTCATTTGAAATAGTCTTAAAACAGGATCTGTCAAAGAGCTCAGAGGCTTATTGGAGAGAGTGGGACATGGTTGGGATGACCCTTTGTGAGAAAGGAGCTGGATAAACCAGGCCGATCACTCTTGGCTTACTCTGTTTTGGCCAGCTCAGGTTGGCATTCCTCACTGAGACCTGTCTAGTGTCTAGCTGGTATCCTTGTGAACCTAACTAACCCTCTCTGCCTTACAAGTAGATACAGTTTTTCAGGGCCCTAGGAAATCTAGGGTTTAAGGAATAAAAAAGAGCTTTGATTTGGGATAAAAACAGGTTTAGAGATCTGCTAGGTGATAAGGAGATTAATCTTTATTATATCCAGTGATCCCTGCCCATATCTTAAATAGTCCTTAAAAAGAATGAGAGAGAATTCACATTCTGAGCATATCTTATGAGAAACAAAAACTAACATTTATTGAGTCTGTTGTGCTAGATTGTGTGTGTTCATATGTATCATCCCATTACTGTGTTCAGCTATATGATCACCCTACAGGAGTTCTCACAATATTTCAGGAGGAATGATAATATCCACTTTTATAATTAAAACAGTGTTAAGACACACTTCCAACACCTTAGTTAGGGCCAGGCGTGGTGGTGCATGCCTGTAATCCCAGCAGCTCAGGAGGCTTAGTCAGGAGGATCATGAGTTCAGAGCCAGCCTCAGCTACTTAGTGAGGACCTAAGCAACTCAGTGAGACTTCCTGTCTCTAAATAAATACAAAAAAGAGCTAGGGATGTGGCTCAGTGGTTAAACACCCATGGGTTCAATTCGTGGTACAAAAATTAAAAAAATAAAAATAAAAAAATCTAGGGAGATAAGATCCTTATTGCTTGAGGTAGAACAGTGTGAGGATATTGCAAAGAGCAGATGTAGGTACTGGTGATAATAGCTCAGTGGTAGAGTGCTTGCCTAGCAGGCAGAAGGCCCTGGGTTCAATCCCCGGCATCTCTCTCTGTCACACACACACCCCCCAAAAAAGAGCAGATGTATGCTGAGTCTATTTTTATTAGATCTGTGACCTTAGACAAATAATTTGAGTCCTAGTTGTCTCATTTGTGAAATGGGGATAATAGAAAATACTTTGTAGAGTGGCTGTTAGAGTTTTAGTTTTTAAAGATTTAGTACAGGGGCTGTGGCTGTGGCTCAGCGGTAGAACACTAGCCTGGCATATGCGAGCAAGGCCCTGGGTTCGATCCTCAGCACCACATAAAGTAAAAAATAAAGACATTATGTCCACCTACAACTAAAAAATAAATATATATATATATATATATATATGTATATATATATAAAATAAAGATTTAGTACATAGTGAAATGCCTGGAATGTGATGGATACCCAGTCAGTGGTAGCTGCTCTTGTTAATTAAAAGCCTATGATAATACAACCTAAACACTGTAGAACCTATTCCAGTGATATTTCCCTTTTCTCAGGCATGCTTTTTAAATTTTTAAAAAATTAATTTTTTTAGTTGTAGATGGCACAATACCTTTATTTTGTTTGTTTATTTTTATGTGGTGCTAAAGATTGAATTCAGTGCCCCACACATAGTAGGCAAGTGCTCCACCACTGAGCTACAACCCCAGCCCATATTTATTTATTTTTATGTGCTGAAGATTGAACCCAGTGTCTCACATGTGATGGGCCAGCGCTCTGTCATTGAGCTTCAGCTCCAGCCCTTAGGCATATTTTTGATATTAGCTTCTTGGCAAAATTTTGTCTTTTAAAGATGAATTTGAGGGGCTGGGGATGTGGCTCAAGTGGTAGTGTGCTCGACTGGCATGCGTGCGGCCTGGGTTCAATCCTCAGCACCATATACAAATAAAGATGTTGTGTCCGCCGAAAACTAAAAAATAAATATTAAAATTCTCTCTCTCTCTCTTTAAAAAAAAAATAAAGATGAATTTGATTTTTGTAAATGGCCAAGAAGCAGAGTCAGAGATGGGTACACATTTTGTTTTTTTTTTCCTTTTTTTGGTATGAGGTTTGAACCTAGGAGTATTCCACCTAAACCCCCTGCCTAACCCCCCCACCTTTTTATGGGTACTGGGATTGAACTCAGGGGCATTTCCACTGAGCCACATCCCCAGCCCTATTTTGTATTTTCTTTAGAGCTAGGGTCTCATTGAGTTGCTTAGTGCCTTGCTAAGTTGCTGAGGCTAGCTCTGAACTCACAATCCTTCTGTCTCAGCCTCCCCAGCTGCTGGGATTATAGGCATGCACCACTGCACCTAGCTCCCCTGCCTTTTTTTTTAAGCTTTCACAGTGACACTTTTATTTCTGTGGAATTGACCCTAGAAATGTAGTGACTGATTATAATATGTGTATCCCCAATCTTTTTTATTTTTATTTTGAGACAAGGTCTTGCTAAGTTGCCCAGGCTGGCCTTGAATTTGGGGAGCCTCCTGCCTCTGACTCTTTTGAGTTGCTTGAGATTAAGGATATGCACCACTATATCCAGCCAAACGTTTTTGTTGTTGATGGTGATGTGACAGCCTCAGAAGTGCAATGTGACTTCCCATAATAATATCAGTGGTTCTGATAAACTGGCTTTGGAGGCACTTCCAAAAGAGGTGTTCCCAAATTTTTTGAGCAATGAGAAAAACACTGTATATATGTAACTTCCCAAGGTGAATCTACTATATATATTCTGAAAAACACTCAATTTAGTCTGTACTGTAAAGTTTTGGAATATATGCTGTAAGATACCAAAAAAAGGAGAAGCTCAAAATAGAGTAGATTGCTTTGAAGAAAGCCTTGAGAAGATAGGACTTGAATTGAACCCTGAAAGTTAGATAGGATTTGGGGGTTGAGGTTATAGCTCAATAGTAGAGTGCTTGCCTAACACGTGTGAGGCACTGAGTTCAATCCTCGGCACCACATAAAAAATAAATAAAATAAAGGTATTGTGTCCAACTATAACTAAAACAAATTAAAAAAAAAAAAGATACAACTTGGTATTAAGGGAAGAGGGATTTCAGAGTATTGCAGGGAGAGCCATAAGAACAAAACAGGGATTCAGTTTATTCATTAGACATGGAATACTTCCCATGTGCTGTACATTTGCACAGAAGAAGGAACTATTCAGACATTAGGGAGTACATAGTATACTAGGGAAGAAGCCCATATAATGAATAGTTATAATGCAGTATAGTAGAGTGGTATGGATACACTGTGTAGTGCAGAAGAGGGGCACCTGACCCAGTGTAGAAATTAAGAAAGAAGAGCTGGGCATGGTGGTGCTCTCCTATAATACTAGAGACTTGGGAAGCTGAGGCAGGGGGATTACAAGTTCAAGGCCAGCCTCAGCAGTTTAGCAAGACTCTCAGCAACTTTGTGAGACCCTGATTCAAAATAAAAAATAAAGGGCTGGGGATGTGGCTCAGTAGTAAAGCTCTGCTGGATTCTTTTCTAAAGAAAAGAGGAAGAAGGGAAAGAGGGAGGAAGGGAGGAAAAGAAGAGATCAGGCTTACTGATGTAGTTTACTATTTAAGCAAAGGGCTTGAAACTTTCTTTTGTACAAGATGCAAAAGCCTTGAAAAGATTGAAGCAAGTATTTTAGGGAGTTAAAGTTGAGCCGTAAGAGATTGGATGCAAGAATACTTGGAAGTCTACTTGGAAGGCTTTTGCAGAACAGGCTAAATGTGAGATGATCTGAATTAGAATTGTGGAGGAAGGGATGGAAAAGCTAGGGGAAAGACATCAAGAATAGATAGGATTCTTGACTCATTTGTGGAAACTAAAAAGGTCTGAAACTTTGATATCTGGAAAAGTGACAGTGCTATTCAAGAAATAAGCATGAGGGGGAAGGTGAATATGATATCTAACATGCTACTGAGAGGCTCATAGCACCCAGTTATTCAGGAAAGCACTAAGACACTTTTTGCTGTGTCTCTCAAATCTTCCTTCCCCTTGCCAGCTCAACACCCAAACCTAACTACTTTGAATTTTAATTGCAGCTCCTCCACCTCCACCCCCTATGATCAGAAATGGTGCCAGGGATGCTCCTCCACCCCCACCCCCATACCGAATGCATGGGTCAGAACCCCTGAACAGAGGAAAACCCCCACCTCCACCCTCAAGGACGCCAGCTGGGCCACCCCCTCCTCCACCACCCCTGAGGAATGGCCACAGAGATTCTATCACCACTGTTCGATCTTTCTTGGGTAAGTAGTTAGTTGTTTTGCCTCAGAGTTCCTGTGGTTACTTCACTGACTGCAGTGTCTTGGCTGCCAGATGGCTAGTGTGGAATGGGAATGGCCACAAGATAATCTTTGTTTACAGCAGTTCCTTTCTGACATTTACTCTCAATCCTTTTTATTAATGTCTAAATCTTTTTTTAAATTTTTTTTTTATTCTACTTGTTATACATGACAGTAGAATGCATTTTGACACATCATACATAAATGGAGTATAACTTCTCATCCATCTAGTTATACATGATGTAGAGTTACAGAGATCATGTAATCATATATGCACATAGGGTAATAATGTCCAATTCATTCTACTATCACTCCCCTCCCCTCCCTTCTCTCCCCTCTGTCTAGTCCAAAATACCTCTATTTCCATCTCCATTGTGAATTAGCATCCACATATCAGAGAAAACATTCGGCCTTTGGTACTTTGGGGTTGGCTTATTTTGCTTAGCATAATATTCACCAGTTCCATCCATTTACTGGCAAATGCCATAGTTTTATTCTTCTTTAAGGCTGAGTAATATTCCATTGTGTATATATACCACAGTTTCTTTATCCATTCATATGTTGAAGTGCACTTTGTTGGTTCCATAGTTTAGCTATTGTGAATTGATCTGCTGTAAACACTGATAGAGCTGTGTTACTGTAGAATGTTGATTTTAAGTCCTTTGCGTATAAACCTAGGAGTAAGATGACTGGGTCAAATGGTGGTTCCATTCCAAGTTTTCTGGGGAATCTCCTCTATATTACTTTCCATAATGGTTATACCAATTTGCAGTCTTACCAGCAATATATGAGTGTTATCTTTTCTCCTACATCCTCGCCAACATTAATTGTGCTTGTATTCTTTTTTTTTTAATTGTTTTTTCTTAATTGTTGATAGATCTTTTTATTTATTTATTTATATGTGGTGCTGAAAATTGAACCCAGTGCCTCACACATGCCAGGCAAATGTGCTACCGCTGAGTCACAATCCCAGCCCTTGTTGCTTATATTCTTAATGATTGCCATTCTGACTGGAATAAGATGGAAGTGTAGGAGCTGGGGTTGTGGCTCAGTGGCAGAATGCTCGACTAGCATGCATGAGGCACTGGGTTCGATTCTCGGCACCACATTCAAATAAATTTAAAAAAAAATAAAAAAGGTCCATCAACAACTAAAAAAATATTTTTTAAAAAAGATGGAAGTGTAGTTTTGATTTTCATTTCTCTAATTTCTAGAGATGTTGAACATTTTTTCTTATACTTGTTGATCGATTGTATTTCTTCTTCTTTGAAGTGTCTGTTCAGTTTCTTTACCCATTTATTGATTGGGTTATTTGGGTTTTTTTGTTTTTTTTTTTTTTGTGTTGAGTTTTTTGAGTTCTTTATGTATCCTGGAGGTTAATACCATATGGAGGTGCGTGTAGTAAAGATTTTTTCCCATTCTATAGGGTCTGTCTTCACATTATTGGTTTTTTCCTTTGCTGTGAAGCAGTTTTTTAGTTTTATTCCATCCTGTTTATTGATTCTTGATTTTACTTCTTGCATTTTTGGAGTCTTGTTAAGGAAGTCAGTTCCTAAACTGACATGGTGGAGATTGGGACCTACCTTTTCTTCTATTAGGCACATACCCTCAGACTTTCATGCCCCATCCATTGACATACCTTTTCTTATGTGAATTCTAGGCATGGTTGCTTTGGAATAGGTTGAAATATAATCAGCAGGTGTCATGCTAACTCTAAAGCTCCTCTCAAGTCCCCCCAAGGATCATTACTTATGGTTAGTTTTCATGGCAGAGGCTGTTCCTCTTTAAGATTGTTCAGACAAGAATTATATATCCTAGGAAGAGCTCCTTTTAGCTGTGTAAAAACTAAACAAGTAGGCTTGGGGTATATCTCGGTGGTGGTGCTTCCTTAGCATGTGCAGGGTCCTGGGTTCTATCCCCAGTACCCCAAAACTAAACAAAACAAGCTTAGTATGCCAAGGCCCTGTTGTGATCCCCAGTATTGAAACAAATAACAAACAAACAAACAAAACATCACACAACTCTTATCAGCAGAGATCACTGACTGACTAGCTGTGTCATTTTGAGGAAGTCACTTCACTTCTCTGGGCCTCATTTCTATTATTTGTATAACAAGGAGATTGATTAGATCAGGAAATCACCAGATTAACTTTTCCAAGTTTATAAGTATTGAGACCCCCTACCTAAAAGATTCTGGTTGTGGAATGGAGCCATAGAAAATGTGGTCCAGAGAATATTATTTATCCACTGTGGAGGACCCCTGGAATAGAGCTTATGTAAGCTCTATTGTAGCCCTAGCACTCTGGATTCCTTGGTGGTTGTTTTCTTCCCTCCTGCCCACATCCCCCATGTTTCAGTCTGTTCCTATTAAATGTACCAGGTGTTTGCTTTGAACACACATCCATAATGAAGAAATCTTTGTAATGTGATTAAACTGCACCTATAGGAAATTTGAGCCTTCTTATGGAGGGCCATAGAAAGTGGTAGTGGGACCAAGGAGGTGGCTCTCTCAAGTATGTTGCAGAACTAAATGAGGGTAACCTAGGCTGAAAGGGAACTATGTGGTCAAATCTCTCAGAAGCTGCAGAAAAATATTACCATTTGAGGTTAATTCTGTAATTTGTAGATTCAATTCAGGTAGTTTCCCATGGTGACAATCTATAAAATGACCATGTTATTGAATCTTGGAATTCTTGTTTCTTTCTGCTTCCATGCAAACAGTTGGAAGCAGTTTCCTGTTCTTGCCTGATTTTTTTTTTTTTTTAGAGAGAGAGAGAGAATTTTTTTTTTAATATTTATTTTTTAGTTTTCGGCAGACACAACATCTTTGTTTGTATGTGGTGCTAAGGATCGAATCCCAGCCGCACGCATGCCAGGCAAGCGCGCTACTGCTTAAGCCACATCCCCAGCCCTCTTGCCTGATTTTTGATGGGAAATTTTGAAGAATCAGCTCAAAGACTTACTCCTTAAAATAACCAAGTTTGTGCATGGGAGCCACCTCGGGTGCTGCTGTTGCTGTCTTTAAGAACCTTGGTTAGATGGGCAAGGCAGGCCCTCCATATGTCAGAGTGCATTTAAAGATTAGTAAGGGGGGCTCATAAGACAGAGGTCTGTGGAGCAAGAGAAGTTCAATATGAGGTAATACTCTGTTCTTTTCGCAGATGATTTTGAATCAAAGTATTCTTTTCACCCAGTAGAAGATTTTCCTGCTCCAGAAGAATATAAACATTTTCAGAGAATATATCCCAGCAAAACAAACCGAGGTAAGAGAAGTAGTAAAGAAAGTGTTTCCAGGGCTGGGGATGTGGCTCAAGCGGTAGCGCGCTCGCCTGGCATGCGTGCGTCCCGGGTTCGATCCTCAGCACCACATACAAACAAAGATGTTGTGTCCGCCGAGAACTAAAAATAAATATTTAAAAAAAAAAAAAAAAAAGTGTTTCCATAATTGCATAGAATATAGAATTTTTGTGTTTTCTTAAGTCAAAAATCTGCTTCTCCTCATCTTCATCTTCTTTAAAAGAAACAAAGCAAAACAAGAAGACAATCTAGTCCCCAGATTTTAAAAATTAGCTTAAAAAGCCTTTTATTTTATTTTTTCAGCTGCCCGTGGAGCCCCACCTCTGCCACCCATTCTCAGGTGAAGTCTGGCTTGGTCCTGTTCCTCAGGAAAAAGGATGGACCTCCTTTTTTTGTCAGATGGTCCTCTCCATTCCCCTGAAACCTGCATGAGAGCTCCTAACATGTTTCTCCTGTGCAAACAATCCTAGACTCCAAGCATCCTTCCAGCTCACCTCCATCTATGCATCTCATCTCTGGACTTGGTGATTGGACTCTTTGCGTCGGCAGTAGGGTCTCAAACTCTGTATCCATCCCTACTCTAACAAACCCTTGCTGGCCAGAAGAGGAGAAAGCCTCCATGTCTCCTGCTGTCCTCTGGGGAAAGGTGCCTTGTTGTGGTGAATGAACTCATTGTTGGGCAGGGTGGAGATTTGGTACCTTATCTGCCCTTATCCACTGTGGGGGGAGCTTGGCAGGTAGATTATATTCCATAATTTAGGAGGCTGGCACGGCCAGAACTTTGGTGGGAAGGGAGGGGGCATTTTTAGTGAAGCAGTAAAGGAGTTTGCAGAGAATTGATCTGTTTTAAAGGTCAGCTTTGGAGAAAGGACAAGGAAATGGGTCTTCTTTATTTTTAGGGGTATTTCAGTTTTGTTCTCACTGCCCACCACCCAATCCCAGGGGTAAGTTCGATATAAACACTAAATACTAATTAGTTGAACTAAAACTTTAATCAAATGAGAGGGCGAAATAAACTGAGGATCATTTTAGAGCTATTCAGTTCTTCTGTAACTAAGGAACTAGGAGCCATTTGAGTCCTCTAGGACTTCCTGCCCCCTTTCCTCAGGGTGCTAGGCTGAAGGGTGTTCTGCCCCATCTCCTCAAAAGAAAAATTCCTTTTTGTCAGGGGCATCATTCATTCCTGATTCACAAATCCCAAAAACTGCTGGTAGGAAATAGGAAGACAGGGTCTGGGCCTTAACTTCAACTTCAAGTCTGCCTCAGTCTTGTCTTACTGACCCTAGCCCTTTGAGTCCTTCATGCTCCAGAATGACTTAAGAAGGGAAGGGAAAACACTCTGCAAAAGACTTTATGGCCTGCTCATGCTGAAGTTCACAGCCCATCTGACTGAGAAAGCTCTTTCCATTCCTTTCTTTATCAGCCTCACCTTCCCAAGATTTCAGGGGCTAATGCAGCAGAGTTAAAGGGGTGAGGAAGTGAGTAGAAGTTTGTGGAGATACTCAAAATTCCTTTATGCCAAGAAGCACAAAAGACTTTGGTGTGAAGTGTGCTTCAATCTGATAGGTCTTCCTTGGTAGCCAGCAATATGTTGTTTCTTTGTCTTCCAGGCCTTAATTAAAAGAGCACAGAGAAAATGGAGGGACCAACTGAGGTTGGACGATGGGACAGTGACTTTCCCTTCTCCAACAACAGGTTGGGGCTCCTGGGCTTCACACACCAGATGGTTTGGTTTGCTACAGCTGTTGCCATATATAGAGGCTACTCAAAACTTGGCATGAGAGCAGGGAGACCAGGCTGTTTTTGAAATGAAGGGGGAAAACTATTTAAAACCCTCTTCTGAAACATCACAGGCTTGAAATGCTGCAGGGACCTTTCTAATCCATTAGATCATAAACTAAGGATCTGAGCATGATGTCAGGTGAAACCCAAATCTTCTCAATGGTAGGTGAAGGAGGGCTCAACTTGGGTTATCTGTTTGGAGTCTCTTTGTCCTTTGCCATCCCTTAGACCACATTAACTCTGGATATAGACTCTCTTGATTAGGTCTGTCACCAGACTTTTTCAATTATTATTTATCATGCTTCTTTTAAAATCTGTTAGCAGTTACCTCCCAGACATTTCCCCAGCATCCTGAAGTGACTAGAGCTGAGAGAGAGGAGAGTGCAAGAGTTGTTACTGCAGCAGAGTTCCAGGGTAGATGCTGACAAGTTACTGAACTTTGACTGTGAAGTCTTCCCATTTATTTTTGAAATGGGAGTTGATGCCTTTTGTACAGTGTTTATCAGAGTGTGTTTTTCTTTTTCCTTTATTCAAACATACATAGAGCATCAAAATAAGAATCACAAATAAAACCAAACCTCAGCTTTTCATTGGGGCTGATATCTTCCTCCCCATGACCTGCTACCACTCATATTCCTCAGCATTTGGACTGTGTCACATGGGTATTGATTGTACTTTGTCTTGGCCTCATGAAAAACAAAAAGGCCTGGGTCTAGATCTAATCAAATGGCTTTTCTCCTTTGGAACATGTTAATGACACAGCACCTATTTAAATATCTTTGCCTTATACATTATTTCTTCCCACTGTTAATAACAGATTTATTATCATGTATATTTGCTATTGAAGATGGGAATGTGATCCTCATAATTATTGGTCTATTTTGTATGTTGTACAGAGCTTGTAATATAGGTTTAAGGTGGGCTAGCTGCAGAGCACTAAAACTTCTCACCTTTAAAACTGCTCTTTTTATCTGCTCATGGGGATGTCAACTCTTCAGTGGAAGATCAGGTGGTCTCATGTTGAGGCTATAGCCCAGTCCCCATTAACTCCCTTCTCCATTCCTGGAGGGAAGAGACATTGCCCAACTAAGCATCTGAGAAGCTGTGTTAACAGTGATTGTGTGGGCTTGGTTTTATGATGTTTTTCCTTAGTGGGAAAAACGTAATAGTTGTTTCTTACTGCCCTTTCTAGGAAGCAGGGCAGTGACCTCCAGGTTTTTAAATGAGCTAGATGCCTGTCTTCCCCCTCTCTGGTCAACAAACCTGGACCAAGGCATGTTGATATTCCAGGTATGGTTTTCTTCATCATGGGGATTTGATCCAGCTGCATAGCCCCACCATTTTCACAGCCTACGCCAGCAGAGTAAGAGCCTAGGACTATACCAGCTGATAGACATGAGGCTGCTGTCTCCAGGAATTTGTCCCAGCCTCTTAACTGGCAAAGGCAAGGAGACTGGCCATTGCACTGGGGGACTCCCCTCACCCCTTTGGCTTCTCAGCTTGAAACCCAGATTTACCTCCAGGAAGAGGTGAGAAAAAAATGTAAATAGACTTGCTACAGAGCAACTCAGGGTTGGGGTGTGTTTTAATTCTCCTGATCACTTGAAATAATCTGTAGGCTGAGTGCTTATGGGAGTGGGGGAGAAGTATTACTCCAGGGTCCTTCCTTTCTGTGAAGCTCTGGGGGTGGAGTATAGGGGATCAGAGGCCCTTTGATGGCACTACTGTCCTGGAAACCCAACCTACAATCAACTGCAAAATCAGATTCTTCACATTCCAGTTGTAGTCTTTCTTTCCCTGTTGAATATTAGTCCCTAGTTATAAAGTCATGGTGGCTTTCTGTTAAGCCACCCTAATTTAGGGAATGGGAGGGAAAGGCGGGTGAGCATTATAGCTCTGCCTTCAAGACTTATATCTTAAAAACAAAATGAAACAAAATTATAACCACCTTCAAAATCACATGCAAAAAAAGAAAAAGGGATAACTGACTGAAGGAAGGGTTTGGTTCCATTCAACTCCACGTTCATTGTGCCTTTACTTGTGTTAGATTTCTGTGCTTTCTTCCTTTCCCTCTGAAGTAATTAAAATCTTCCTTGATAACTGCTGTTTCCTACTTTCTACTCTTATTTGTGACAACTTGGTGGGTTCCTTCTCTAATTATCTTAAATCTCATTCCACTGATGGCAGAGAGTGCCTAGCCTTCTTTTCTCATGTCTAACTTTTGTCGTTTTCCACAGTGACCAACATGGAAGTCACAGTTAACACTGAATAAAAGACTAGAATGATGTGTGTGTGCATGCGTGTGTGTATGTGACCATCCCATCTACATGTGGATACACTTCTTTAAAAAATAATTTATTGTATGATTTATTTTGGAGATATATTCTGATTATAGTGCTCCCTCTCCCAAATAGCACTGATTCTTTTTTTTCCCCCTTACCCCCTAAAATGTATAATCTGGTCTCAGGTTCAATTCTTTGGTACATTTCTTTCTTCTGAATGCTGTGCAGTTTAATTAAACCTTGCTTAAAAGCAAAAACTGAGAACTGTGTACTCTTGTCTGGAATACCATCACAAGTGGTGGCATAGAGAGGGGGGAAAAAAACCTATTGCCTCATATTCTGGTTAAGTGTGATGGTTTGATTCCATGTCACTTGAGAAAGTAGATGTACTGACTTAAGCAGAAGCAGCATCTGTGGTTTCCTGAGAGTTTTCTCTCCTCTTCCACATGTTTTGAAATTGCAGTTCTAGTTAGTTGTGCTGACTAAGAGAACCTGACAGTCATTTTATATATATTTATACATCATATATATATTTGCTACTGAACCACTCTTTGCCCATGATTTCAGGGAACCCAGGAGGCCCCCTGACCTTATGTCCTTTCCTTGAATCCCTTATGATTGTTTCTACTTGTGTTGTATGTCTGATTCTCAAATTCACAGTGGAAAAAAAGATGGGGGCAGAGCATTTAGGTTCATGTGTACATTCTTATGTGGGTGTTGGTTGTTTTCCTCAGTGCTTTTCAAGCTGAAATCTTAGCTGGGTGTTTTTTGTTTGTTTGTTTTGTTTTGTTTTTGAACTTTGATTTTAGGTGTAAAAAAATTCAACCAGACATTTTTGCTTACTGTGGTCAGCTGATATAATAACCTCTAAGGTTTAATGAGCTTAACTTGAACTTTCATTACTAGCAAAGGTCTTGAAATCATTTCCTATACTGAATCATAATGGGTGTGTGTATGAATCACTCTCACATAATTTAGGTATAAAAACCTATGAGGAGGATGAGGGGAGGGAGGGAAAAAAAAGACATTTCATTTTCATCCATACCTACCAGATTGGCTGAATTCCTGATTATTTGACCCATCATTGTTATTAATATGATTAATAAACTACCTATTTATTGATTTAATTGTTCTTCCTGACTGCAAATGGAACTTGCCTAAGTGACTCTCAACTTCTTAACCATATAAGCTTTCTTTGCCTCACTGGGTGGTATTGCTTGTATGCAGATGCTAGACAGGTCCTTCCAGTGCACTTTGTTTCCTCCTCCATGATACTGTGTATGAGTGAAGTGATAAGCACACCAGTTTGTTCACTTTAATTACTACCAAGGCAGAGCTGCTTGCCTTGAATGTGCCTCTTAAGTATTTCCTGACCCAGTCTAGCCATGAACTAGCTCACTGGAAGGAAGTTGCCTATCTCTGATTCCTACTTTGCAGACAGAAGTAAGAGAACTGAAATATTAACCTCAGGACCCTGAAGAGTCCCAGAAGATAACTTGGAGAAGGGCATCACCTTTGACATCACTGAAGCCCAGTCTGGGTTGCTTTTACACATAATTGAATTTCTTTTTCACTCCTAGATTTAGGGATGTGAGATTGATTTACTGGTACTGAGGATTGAACCCAGGAGCATTTTACCACTGAGCTACTTCTCCAGCCCTTTTTATTTTTATTTATTTATTTGTTTTTTTAAATTTTGAAATAAGGTCTTGCTAAGTTGCTTAGGGTCTCACAAAGTTGCTGAGACTGACCTTGAACTTGGGATCCTCCTGTCTCAACCTCCATAGTTCCTGGGATTACAGATGTATCCCACTGTGCCCAGCTGGGGTGTGATATTTAGAGGACTACAAATATGCCGTTCAAACACACACACACACACACACACACACACACACACAATTTTCACACAAAGAGTGGATATCTTGGCAAGAATGTCCTTTTCATTTCTTCATTTGGCAAACATTTATTGTGTACTTCACTGTACCAGACAACTACAGTGATGATGAATAAAGCATGGTCTTTGCCTCCAAGGATCCTACAGTCTAGTAAAAGACTTAAAGGCAGCTGAGAAACTTCTAAAGTGTATTAAAAGTCTTCATGGGGTTTAGCACAGAAGGATGGTGAGTTGCATTCCAGACAGTGGGAACAGCAAGAAGAAAGAGAAGCGATTGACATTGATGGTTGTGTGCCTAATGTTAGTGGAGGTTCATTACTAGTGAAAAGAGAGAACTTCAAGTAGATAATCTTTTAGAAACTTCAGTCCTGACATTCTATGACACTCTTGTCTGCTTCCACCGGGGTCAAGTCACTTTGGCCAATGCTGTTATTTTTCTGGTGGTTTCGTCAGCTCCAATATGCACTTTAAGTACTTAAGTTCTGCTCCCTCCTACTGTGAATGTAGTTGTTTACCCAAATCTCTCAAGGCTGGCAATTATTAATGGCAAGTTTTAGATGCCCAGGTTATAAAAATATGAATAGTGAAGGTGCATCCTGGGTTCTGTTATTCTGTTAGGTCAGAAATACCATCTGATCAGAAAGCATTCTAGTTACTCTTTTTCCATTCATGGAAGCCTGTGTTTTGTAGTTTTTAGCTGCTAGAAAGCTCCTTCACCATCTCTTCCTATTTAGAACCTGCATCTGTTTAACCTCACCCCTATGACTAAGTGGTCAAGAATTTGATTTCCTGTCAGTACAAATTCTGGCTCTTCCACTTGGTAGTTATGTGACATTGGACAGGCTTATGCAAATCCCCTCTATATCTTGGTTTCCCCATTTATAGAATGGAAATACCAACTCTGTGGATGCTTGTGAAGATTAATAAGCTGATAGTTGGTAAAATACCAAGTTCAGTCCCTAGCATATACTTAAGCTTTCTGTATTGACTCATCTATATGAACTAAGTTAACAATTAACTAACAATCATATTGTTGTGTTCCTATTTCTCAGCTTTATAAAAAGGCTCTATTTGATATTGAAGGGTAAAAGATAAATGTTTATCATCACTTAGAATTGAGTTCTGGCTTTTAAAGGAACCTGAGGCTTAGATGGGTTATTTATTAGTTTTGTAAGCTGACCTTCAAATTACTGCTCTAGTTTATATTGTTCATTAAATGCTCAACTTGCCTCGTCTATAACTGTCTTTCCCCGCCCTGAAACCCCAGGGTTTGGCCACAGAAGATTTTAATATTAAGAGGACATAATTCCATTCCCCACATGTGTGGATTAATGATAAGAAGGTGCACAGGGTATAATATTCTTATCCTGAACAGAAGTAAAGCGCTGGGATAACTACTTCTCACTTGTGAAGCACAAAAGATACCGTGTTGAAGCCACGTATAAAACTTTACCAAAAAAATACCAGTTTAGGTGCCAGGACATCAGAGTCCAAGGCTCTTCATTGCCCCTAAAATAGTGTGGCCTCTAATCCTGTGCACTCCTTTACTTCATGCCTTGCAGAACTGAATTAGAGGTGACTAAAATGCTAGCATCATTCCTGGCATACAGAACCGCCCCCAAAATGGTAGGTATTATGTATTGTTACCCTGAAAATCTAACACATTGGGATAATGAAAATGGATACGTCTGGCAGTGAGAAGGACAATGACATATTAACACCTGTAGTCCAAAGAAGAACGCGGAAATAGAGTCTCATGGGACAAAGACTACATTCCCCGCCCGGCTTTGCGGCTTGGCGGGCTAACTAGAACCGCATCCGCCGCCACCGCGCGCCTTTCGGCGGAAGCCCCGGATGCACTTGCCCTCTCCGGCAATGGGTGTGGTCTCGCGTTGGCTCTGAGACCTGGGGCCGTCTTATTGGCTGTAGGCTTTCCAGCTGGATTGGACACGAAGGAAGGGGTGGTGGCCAAGGCTCGTGGCGCGGCCGTGTCAGCCAATGGGAAGCGTGGCTGGGCTTTAGCGCGAAGCGGGAATGCTGCGACTGTGCGGATTTGGCGCGAGCTGACTTTTCTACTGCTGGTGTGTAATTTGGGGGAGCTTGTGGTAGAGAGTCCCTGAGGCCGTGTGAGACGCGAGAAGGAACCTGCACTGAGGTGACGCATCCCTGAGGGGTGGAAAGGAGAGGATTTCCCGGTGATGCCTGGGGTCTGGGAGCCAGCGGGTTGGGAGAGGGCTGCGGGCTCCCACGAGGCCCCAGGTAAAGTTGAGGAGATCTGAGATCGCAGCAAGTCTGAGGTCGGCGTCCCTAGGAAGAGGGATGTGGGCCCTCGGAATGGTGGAAAGGTTCTGGCAGTGCTGCGTGATGTAAGGAACTGAAAACTGTAGGAAGGAAATGTTCCAGAATTGAGGACTGTGTGGAGTTAGGACTACCGAGTCCAAGAGCGGAGTGAAGACCGAGCTGTGCTGTCAGGGCACAGGACTGTCAGGGTGGCGGTTATGGGCTCAGATGAAGATGCCCCGCATGCCTGGAGCGAGGAGATTAGAAGTACTGTAAATGAAAATAAACTTATTGGGTCGCTCTAGCGAATAAGAAAATGGGCTGGTGCCAGAATGCTTGGGATTAGTTAATCCCTGTTTTCCTGCGATTTGGGGCCTCTGTGCATCTCAGTTGTCTCATTTGTTAGATGGAGATAATAATTGTACCTACCTCTTATTAGGTAGTTGTAAAACTTAAATGAGTTAATATGAGAAAATGCTTATAACAACCTTTTACACATACTAGGTAGGCAACACTGTTAGCTGTTATTGCATAGATTTGAGTGTGAAGCAGAATGCTAAAATATTATAACATAATTTACTTATGAAATGAATGTTGATCATAAGTATAAATAAAATTCCATGTTAGTTATTTTCTATTCTCTTTAACACATTTACAGGCTGCTCTGTTCTTTTTTGAATCCTGCTGTGTTGCCATCATGCCTCAAACCAGATCCCAGGCACAGGCTACAATCAATTTTCCCAAAAAGAAGCTATCTCGGGCTTTGAACAAAACCAAAAACTCTAGTGACACTAAACTACAACCAACAAATGTCCAGGCTATACCCTCTTCTCCTGGTGTAAAGAGTCTGCCTCTCAGCCCTAGAAAACGTCTAGGTAAGCTTTCCTTTGTATGAGTACAACTTTTTGACCAGTAGCTCTCAACCTTTCTTTTCTCAGTGATAAGATGCCTGTCCTTCAAAAGACTTTCCTAAGTTCAGTTGAGTCTGCTCTATAAATTTTATTTATTTTCAGAATAAAATAAAGATTTGGTGTAAGCAAAATGGTTACTAAGTGCTTACTGAACTTCAGAGTTAAGCCACTTATTGAGATCACTTTCTGAACTACTTAATAGATCTGGTCTTCAGTTATCTAATACTGAACTTAGTTCTGTCATTGTTTTCAGTTATGTTGCAGATATATGGTATTATGAAATTTGCCTTCATATTGTGAAATCAAGAGAAACAAATGGGTCACGTTCTTAATATTTTCAGACCTTTTCTTATTTTAGAACATTGGTTGGCACCCAGGACCTCTCACATACTTGGCAAGTGCACCGTAAGCCCCAGAGCATTTGTTTTTAATGGGGTATGATTAGGTTATCAGAGCTGGATGCAATTGCCATAATAAGTAAAAGCCAGGGGTGCTGCGAAGCATCCCATAATACACATGACGTTCTCTCCACAACAAATGATTCTTTGGTCCAAGATGTCAATGATGCCAAGGTTGAGAAATCCTGTTTTTTAGAACAGTTTTAGAATTTTACTGCATTAGAACTCATTTGATTTCTATGAAATAATAGGATTCAGCGACGCCATCTAGTGGCCAGTATTAGCTTCTAGGTGAGAAGGATGTTTATTTTGTGGTTTCTCCTCTCTTTTCACTATCTACTGCTGTGAGTGACCATGTTTTGATTTTAATGTTTCAGGTGATGACAACCTATGCAACACTCCCCATTTATCTCCCTGTTCTCCACCAAAGCAAGGCAAGAAAGAGAATAGCCTCCCTCGTTCACATACAACTAAGGGACGGAGATTGGTATTTGACAATCAGCTGACAGTTAAGTCTCCTAGCAAAAGAGAACAAGCCAGAATTCATCAAAGTAAAATACTTCCCTCAGTTCAAAAAGATCAGGAGATCATAACAAATTCTGAACAGAAATGTCCAATGGAGAAAGACTCTGCACGTTTGAGATTATTCAAGCAAGAAGGTGCGTTCTTAAATGGCAGCTGTTAGTGCAGCTGTTATAAACAAAGCTGATGACTCCAGATGAAGCTCAGTGGGTTTTTTTCAGTCACCTTCTGTTGTGTCTAGTTGTCCTTTTTATGTCTGATGCAGGTACTTGCTACCGACAAGCAAAGGTTGTCCTGAATACAGCTGTCCCAGATCGTCTGCCTGCCAGAGAAAAGGAAATGGATGTTATCAGGAATTTCCTGAGGGAACACATCTGTGGGAAAAAAGCTGGAAGTCTGTACCTTTCTGGTGCTCCTGGAACTGGAAAAACTGCCTGTTTAAGCCGAATTCTGCAAGACCTCAAGGTACATTGAGAATCTGAATGTTGATGCTCTTGCTAAAATGATACTTGGGGGGGGGGTTGTTGTTGGTGGTGGTGGTGGTTGTAGATGGATACAATACCTTCATTTATTTATTTATTAATGTTTTTTAGGGTGCTGGGGTTGTGGCTCAGCGGTAGAGCGCTCACTTAGCACCTGTGGGGCCCTTTCAATCCTCAGCACCACATAAAAATAAATAAGATAAAGGTATTGTGTCCAACTACAACTAAAAAATATATATATTTAAAAATTTTTTTTTTTAGTTGTCAATGGACCTTTATTTTATTTGTTTTTATGTGGTGCTGAGGATCAAACCCAGTGCCTCACACATGCTAGACAAGCGCTCTACCACTGAGCCACAACCCCAGCCCGATACTTGGTTATTAAGGGTTCAGGAAGACAAACATTTAGGAGATTGAAAATAATAAGACTTTTTTGTTTCATTGTCTAAATCTTTCCAAATGAAAGTAGAACTTCCTCTCTTGTATACTATTATCTCTCACAAGATAGTTCAAATTTCATCAAATCTTTATCTGAAGCCAAAATAACTGCCAAGTTTTTTATTTTTGTTTGTTTGTTTTTTTCTAGAAGGAAGTAAAAGGCTTTAAAACTATCATGCTGAATTGCATGTCCTTGAGGAAAGCCCAGGCTGTATTCCCAGCTATTGCTCAGGAGATTTGTCAAGAAGAAGTATCCAGGCTAGCTGGGAAGGACATAATGAAGAAACTGGAAAAACATATGACTACAGAGAAGGGCCCCATGATGTAAGTATTTCTATGTTGCTCAGTGAAAATCTGCAAGATCTGTTGCTTACCAAAAGAATATTCACGATGTTTGCTCTATAAGAAGAGGTAGTTTGGGCTGGGGATGTGGCTCAAGCAGTAGCGCGCTCGCCTCGCATGCGTGCGGCCCAGGTTCGATCCTCAGCACCACATACCAACAAAGATGTTGTGTCCGCCGAGAACTAGAAAATAAATATTAAAAATTCTCTCTCTCTCTCTCTCTCCTCTCTCACTCTCTCTTTAAAAAAAAAAAAAAAAAAAGAAGAAGAGGTAGTTACATAAACCTAAAAAGAAAAGTACACTTTCTAATTTTTTAAATTGGAAAAAAATGTTTTTAAAACTAATTGCTTGAAAACCCTGGGATGTTGGGGGTTTCGTTCTAAGAGTGACTAGAGATTTACATAAATTACAGTCTTCAAACTTGTCTCAACTTTACAAATGTGACATAAAATTAGTCCAAATCAAACAGATTGAAGGTTTAAGAAAGTAACTATGGATGCTAATTGTTTTTCTTTCTATATAGTGTGTTGGTGTTGGACGAGATGGATCAACTGGACACCAAAGGGCAGGATGTATTATACACACTGTTTGAATGGCCATGGCTGAGCAATTCTCGATTAGTGCTGATTGGTTAGTTAATTGTTAATGTTACATGGTGGTTCTGAAACTTTTGGGTTTTTTTGTTTGTTTGTTTGTTTCCAATACTGGAGATTGACTCAAGGATGCTTTACTACTAAGCTATATCCCCAGCCCTTATATATATATATATATTTTTTTTTTTTTTTTTTTTTTTGAGGCAGGATCTTTTGCTTATGGCCTGGCAAAATTGCTGAGACTGGCCTCAAACTTGTCTTCCTATCTTAGCTTCATTCACTTTGGACTAGGCATGTAGCTTAGTGGTAGAGTACTTGCCTAGCAGGTGTGAGGCCCTGGGTTCAATACCTAGTATTGCACAATAAATAAATAAATCTGTCCGGCTTTTGCTAGTAATTTTAATCTAAGGTACATTACTTTTAGGCTGAATAAAAATTACTTAGGAGCTGGTGCTATGATGGCATATGTAGTCTCAGGTACTCAGGAGGCTGAGGCAGGAGGATCAAAAGTTCAGAGACAATTGGGTAACATGGCAATACCCTTTCTGTTATAAACAAATAAAAATGACCTGGGGCTGGAGGTGTAGCTCAGAGGTAGAGTGTGTGCTTAGCATACACAGGGCCTGGGTTCAAACCCCAGCACACACATACCCACCTATTAATAAGACATAAAACTTTATTTTTAGAAACAATAGATTTTTAAAATATATTTGGTCCTGCTTATCAGTGAATAATTCTGACCCTACTTTGAAAAGACCATTCTATACTAACTAACTAACTAACCATATATATATATATATATATATCCTATCTAATAGGTATATTTTACCTTTGGAATGGGGAGGAAGGCAGGTGGGAAGCAACAATTGAATGCTAGATTATAAGTGGAAGTGTTTATCTTTCAGAGGTTTCGTTTTTCTTTTCAGATGATTTGACTGATGATGCTTCTTATCTCCTCCTCAGGTATTGCTAATACCCTGGATCTCACAGACAGAATTCTGCCAAGGCTGGAAGCTAGAGAAAAATGTAAGCCACAGCTATTGAACTTTCCACCTTATACCAGAAACCAGATAGCCGCAATCTTACAGGATCGACTTAATCAAGTGAGTGCCAACCCTTATGCCAAATTTTGTTCCTCAGATGACCTTTGTTGAGGAAACCTAACTGTAGTTCTAAATTATTTTGCTTTGATTGCTTTATTAATGGTATGGGGCATACCTATGGACCCATAGTGGGAACATTTTTGTGTGAATTTCCATTTATAGCTCCATTTATTGGATCTTCAGTGTTGAAATAAAAGAAGTGAAATAATTCATTCAAATGCTTTTTTTTTTTTCTGGAACTCCCTAGTTCCTGTTGAACCCAGGGGCGCTTAACCACTCAGCCACATCCCCAGCCCTTTTTATTATTTATTTAGAAACAGGGTCTCTCTGAGTTACTTAGGGTCTTGCTAAGTTGCTGAGGCTAGCTTTTTTTAAATCTCTTAATATACTTTTTTTTTTTTTAATTGTCAACAGATATTTATTTATATGTGGTGCTGAGAATCGAACCCAGGGCCTCACACCTGCTTGTCAAGCACCCGACCATTGAGCCACAACCTTAGCCCTGAGGCTGGCTTTGAAATCTCAATCTTCCTGCCTCAGCCTCCTGAGTAGCTGGGATTACAGGCGTGCATGCCACCATGCCCAGCCACTCAAATGCTTCTTTAATGACCTTTATAAATAGGGCATATGAAAAATTTTCTTCTGAAAGTGACTAAATAGTTTTATGGGTTTTTTTTGTTTTTTGCCAATTTATGTTCTAATTAAATTGCTTTTTGGTTTTCCTCATTCATGAACCTTTGCCACATTCCTATAAAAATTCTTAATATGTGAAGACTGAAATATCTTCATTTATTTACAAATAGAAAAGACAACTCCTAATGGGTAGCCAGTCAGGTTTGGTCTTAATTGTGAAAATATTTACATCTAGAACCTAAACTGCAGAGAGATTCAAATTGTCTTCTGTCTTGTCTAAAGGTGTCTGGAGATCAGGTTCTGGACAATGCTGCAATTCAGTTCTGTGCCCGCAAAGTCTCCGCTGTTTCAGGAGATGTTCGCAAAGCGCTAGATGTTTGCAGGTGAGTTATGGCACTGTAGGCTGCTTTTATTTAAAGAAATCTAGAAATGGCTGTTAATTGTCTCATGTAACTCAAGTGAATGTGGCTTAAGAGGCTCCATTCTGCTACTTTCTACACTCAGAAAAGAGGACTTGTTTCTCAGTGGGGAGCTCTGGATTTCCACCGTGTTAATGTCTGAAACATTATCAGTCCATTACCTACAGAGGGAGAAACAAATGAGATGTTGCTGGCACTCCCTGTGGTGATTATAGATTGGTTAATTACATTTGTATTAAAAAAGACTCCAGTTTACTTTTCCATTAGCTGGTTTCAAGCAGGTTTATTTATGGACCTGAACCATCTTTGCCTTTAGACTTTCTTCCCCTTCTTTCCTTTTGTAGGCACCCCTTCTTCCCTCCAGTTGGTAGTCCCCCACAGTATTCCAGACCTTTCTCCTTTCCCATCCCCCTCCCTCTCCTGCTGGGGAAAGCCTCTGTGCTGACTGATGAAATTTCTTCCCTCCCAGTAGGGACACTGGGTCCATTAAAATGATACTTGCTGTGCTGGCCCTCTGGTCCAACCTCCCCCTACTGCCTTGCAGAAGATCCAGGTCTGGCTTATGGCTTCCTGTGGGCAAAGCACTTTGGAGAGAGCAGTGGGAGAGTAAGCTCTTCCTATTGCTAGATTGCATGATCCTGAATTTAAAAGTTTCCCTAGTCAGCAAACTACTTGAGTGAAGACTATAGCTATGAACAACATTCATGTAGGCTGGCATGATTTAGCCTTTATATATCCTATGTATATATAACTCATGACTCCCCTTTTAGGTCTGCTGTGTATGGATGGTGCTAGTTTTCTTAGTCACCCACACTAATATCTTCTCTTCTACCCATGACATTTTTCCTCCTCCAAAATGTTATTGGCTCAATGTTTGATGACCTACTTGGCATCTAAAGGGAACCATGTAGTGTGTTGAAATTTCTCAAATCCCTGGTCCATGAATTATTTCAAGGCAATTAAATCCCCTTTAGCTGAGACATAACCTAGTTTTGTTTGGGGGCTTTAAATTTTTAAAACATGCTTTTAGTTAATGTGCCTGCTTTTGAGCTTGGTGGTTGGTGTGGTATTTAGTTTGGCTCCGATGAAATTAATTTTAGAAAAAATTTTTTTATAGGAGAGCTATTGAAATTGTAGAGTCAGATGTCAAAAGCCAGACTATCCTCAAACCACTGTCTGAGTGTAAGTAGTTTATCTCCTTTTTGTCTTATTTTATAATTGGAAGCTTAACTTTGCTGAGGAAAGAGGTATAAAGATAAAATGAATGTAGTTAAATATACACTCACCCATTCTTCTGTGTGTGTGTTTAGTCAGTTTCATTTATTTTACTTTAATCTTGCCTGCCAATACCATAGTCTATGAATTACTGGAAATGAACTCCCCAGGGTGTTATATAAATGGCTAGGATAGAGTCAATTTTCTTTCCAGGATCTAGGAATGAAAACTGTCAACAATAAGCTTCTTTGTGGGTGCTTAAGTTGAGTGCAAGGAGGTGAAAACAAAGTCTGATAAATAAGAGAGGTAAAAAATTGTGAGTTCATCTTGGGATATCTTAAGCCTTTAAACAAGTCTAGGAGGGTAGAGGTACAAAGATCATATTGCTACAGTAAACAGAAGGCTATCACAAATGGCAAAATTAACTTTCTTTCCCCTCAGCTTTGTTCTTTTAGATGTGGCAGATGTAAAATGGCCATGAACTACATATCTTATTGATGTTTAATATCCAATGTTAATCTTTAAAAACAGGACAGTTTGACTTGGCTGTTTCTTCCTTCATTCCTGCACTGGTTTGGAGTTATTAAAGTTGTTTCTATCACTATAGTTCTGCATAAAATCTTTCTCTTTCATCAACTTGTTAAAATAAATAACTTAGAAAAGAAAAAATAACTTATAGTAATTCAGAAGTAGACAAATTTGTGTTTAGACTGAGGATAGCCAATATATGCCAGTGTGTATATAAACTTAGATACTGGTTTCCTGATTCTCTTCACCTCCTCCCTCCGCCACCTTTTTGCCGTACCAGTAACATTTCGGCTTGTCAGTGAGCACCACTGGCACAAACATTGTTAAAAGAAGTTGTAAGGTCTAGACTAACCTAATTCCTATCTTGACCTTTTTTTTTAGTTGTTAAAGGACCTTTGTTTTATTTATTTATATGTAGTGCTGAGAAGATTGAACCTGGTGCCTCACACATGCTAGGCAAGTGCTCTACCACTGAGCTACAACCCCAGCCCCCTCTTTTGGGTGAGGTTAACTTAATGGTTCCAGAAAGCTATAAGAACATTGAGTTCAACGAAGTAAAAGAGGGAACTTTCTAATATATAGAAACAGTTTATTTGAAATATAGTGGGTTCTGCAGCAATGAAGATATTCAAACAAAAGCTGGATAGGTGACCACATGTTGGGATTGTTTTAGAGCAGACTCGGCCATTGGGTAAAGGGTAAGAATAGACCTCTGAATTCCTTTCAATTTTAAGATTCTGTTACTTGATCTGTGAGCTCTGGTTTCTCCATTAGTCCTCTGCAGCATCCCGTTTGTGGTAATGAAATAGAAGCGAATTGTGTGGGGCAATTGCAAATGGTCTCAGGAAGTAATTTCAGGCAAAGGTTGTTACAGAGCAAATCCCTCCTCTGTCTTACAAATCATGCGTCTCCAAACAATAAGCCCATAGTCCTGTGCAGCTTGTTGGCAGTTTCCCAACCTCTGACTTTTGAGAGGGTGCTATCTGCTAGGATATCCAATGACATTTTCTCAAGTGTTACTCTCCTGCATATCAGCTTGGGCAAGTGAACCAAACCTCAAAGGTCATTTCGGAGGCCATCTGGATGACCGATATGGGATTGACTTTATTGTCCACACTTATCTACTCATTTGGTTCAAAATATTAGGTAATTTTTCCAACTATTTTCTTTTTTATGTTCTTAATAGCTGGGCATAGTTATCATTTTTTCTTTGAGGTTCTATTCTTTACCTCTGAGGCATTAAGAATTTCCAAGGCAGAAAACCATAGCTCTCTGTCTGGTCCTTACTCTATTATGAGGTAGATTTTGTCTTTCCAACATTGAATTACATTCTGTAGGACCAAATGTCACTTAAATAACCTTACTTCCCAAGTCTTCCCACATTTATTTGGCATCTTTCTGAAGATAGCATTGTCTTTTATCCTTTGGCTTCTAGTTAGAGTTGGAAACTTTGCTTTGCCATCATGTGAATGACATGGGTTTCCTTTAGTTAAAACATTATTATTTACTTTGTAGGTAAATCATCCTCTGAGTCTCTGGTTCCCAAGCGTGTTGGTCTTACTCACATATCCCAAGTTATTTCAGAAGTTGATGGTAACAGGATGAATTTGGGCCGAGAAGGAGCACAGGATTCCTTCCCTCTCCAACAGAAGATTTTGGTCTGCTCTTTGCTGCTTTTGACCAGGCAGTTGAAAATCAAAGAAGTCACTCTGGGGAAGGTAAGTTGGGAATCTCAGCAGAAGAAGCTGAGGTAGAGATGAGAATCTGCTTTGCAGCACAGGTATTTTCCAAAGGCTTATCATGTTCCAACTGGTATGAATTAAGTGTTTTAACAGTAAGAATTAATATTGGTACTATATAAAAGGCAACTGACTCAATTTCCCTTGGGATGTGCTTAAGCTTAAAGTCCTCTTCCTACATTACAGTATAGGGTTTTGGGAATATCTACTGAATGCTTGTTCAAGGATGGTGACTTTTAAGTAACAATTCTCCCTCTTTTTCCTCCCAGTTATATGAAGCCTACAGTAATGTCTGTCGTAAACAGCAGGTGGCAGCTGTGGACCAGTCAGAGTGTTTGTCACTTTCAGGGCTCTTAGAATCCAGGGGAATTTTAGGATTAAAGAAAAACAAGGAAACCCGATTTACAAAGGTATGACCAACTGCTTCTTTATGACAGTGCTTTTAATTGTACTGTTTAAATGGCAATAATTAGATAACCAATTTTTTTAAAGTTAAGATTTAAGGTGTTTGAGAATAGGAGTGTGATATGAATGAGATTCCCCCCCACCTCCCAGGCCGTTGTAAAAAGCAGTATTTAACTTGCTTGCCTCTAGGGAGAGAAGTTTAATATGGTAGAAGTTAGTGTGGTAGCAACTTTGCTTTTACGAGTTCTTCACCATGCAAAATCCTTTTCTCTTTTCAGGTGTCTTTGAAGATTGATGAGAAGGAAATAGAGCATGCTCTGAAAGACAGAGCTTTAATTGGAAATATCTTAGCTACTGGATTGTCTTAAATTCTTCTCTCACATCCACCCAAAAGTATTCATCTGGCATTTAGAGAGCTATGGAGTCTTCATTTTAGTACTTTATACATTCACTCCAAAACCAAATATGACTTTTTTTACTCGACAGCAAGGAATTTTAATCTATAGATTCATAAATATTAGCACAGAATAATATCAATGGGTCTTATTTTTATACATAAATGAATAAGTAAACCCTTTTTAAATTAACTGCCTCTCCAAGTATACAGAATTATATTGTGGAATGTGTAAATCTTTACCTCTAAGTTTCCTCAAACATTGGTATATTTTCTTAAGAACTCGGAGGTTAGGGTAAGAAGAATGAAAAAGAATGAGGAAAAAAAAAAGTCTACATGGAGATTTGAAGGACATTTCATTTCTTTATGGAGAACTACTATGTTCATGGTGCTGAATTACCACATTGTGACATTTTTAAGACGGTCATCAGAGTTTTTTGGATACTCCTAACCTTGTGGGGGTAGTTAGAAGAATGTAACTTTACAGATTGTGAATATATTTATTTATTTTCAAGTTGTATTTGTCTTGTGTGTGTGTGTGTGTGTGGGTGGGTGGTGCTGAGGATTGAACCTAGGGCCTCGTGCATGCAAGGCAAGCACTCTACCAACTGAGCTATATCCCCAGCCCTGTATTTGTCTTTTTAAGCATTCATATTTTAAGAGACCCCAGGCTTTCAGAAAGCAATGTGAAAATTCCTTACCAAACATTTCCAGTCTTTGCTGCCCTCAATTCTAAGCCATTGGTTCAAGATGCTGCCACTAGGGTTGGATTTTCATCTGAACACATGTTTTTCCAGTTTTATTAGATGAATTAATCCTTATGGTTACTTAAGACTCCTCTGAGTTTGGTTTCTAGTAGCATTAAATGGCAGTTTGTGACAGGAACACCAGAGGGCACCATTACAACACTACTCAAAGTGTAGGCTTGAGGCTGGGGTGGTTTTGAGGGAAGGGGTGGAAAGGTACTTAGGTTTGATTTGTTTGGAAGATTGCTTGTATTACTTGAGCAAATAAATGCCTGAGATATAAACCGTGTGTGATATGAATGATCTGAGAGCCAGCACCAAGATTCTGCTTCTCCATGAGCTCTTCAATTGCCTCCTGCTTTTCTGATAGGGCCTTGGGTTTGGGAACTTGATATGTGTATAAATGATCTGTTGGCCACTGTTTCATTCATTCTGCCCACTGTATCTTTGTAAAGTGATCTGCACTACAGCAGGTGGTATGGGATAGAAGAAAGGCAAGCAGAGAGGACTCTCTGAAATGAACACTACCCACTGGTGTGTGTAGCAGGGGAGAATCTGTGGACACAGGGCTGGATGTTGTTCTTACTCACACTATATTAGAGCATTAATTCACTCAGAGGGCAATTTTGCAAATGGGGTACACAGTTCTATATTGAAAAGGTTGGAAGGCATCTGGGGCTATAAGGGTTAACAAGCATAATTGCAAAGATTGTCCGAAGGCTGATGGAAAGCAGAGACTGAATGGGATTGAGAACAGATGCGAGGCTTGATTTAAATTACATTTTATTGGATGCTGCAGCCTTAAGAGACGTGACTGCTTTACAGTTTGTTTCCACACTGTGGGCAGCTGTCTGTTCTGTGTCCACAGTAGGATCCTGCCCAGAAAGGAGCGGCCTCCCCACCTCGTTGTGTTTGAGGCTTGGCGCCTTTCTCTTAACTGTAGAGCTTGAGTCAGGAACATGGCTTGACTCGCAGTGGGGCTGCTATGTCTCCTCCCTGGCTTCCATCCAAGATCACATTTACAGATTCAAAGGGGCCAAATTTCTTTTCCCCTCTCCCTCCTTTCTCTCCTTCCCCTGGTATTTGGAAATAGGGCTTTCTGTGGACTGGTTTGTTAGTTTCCTTTCCTTCAGTTCTCCCCCCACTGTCAATTTCTAGGTCATTGCTGCTCTTAAGACTTCAGCAATTGGAACAGGGTTGGTTCTGTCAATGATGCGTGAAGCAGACTTAGAGTCCCTGCTTGGCTTCCGCTGCCCTTGTGGGAGAAAAGGCTGATATATGTTTGTCAGTAAAGTCTTAAGTGTAATTCAGACAGCCAGAGAAGAAAAGGAAGAAAACTCTTTCCTTGCTGTTTTTTTCTCACTGAAGCTGAGAGCTACAGGAAGGTGGTAGGAATTTTAGTGGGATGGGATGGGCCTGTGGTTAGTAGTTTTTGCCAAAATATTAGGCTACTTCATATGGAGTAGTGGCAAAGATGCTGACCTACTTTTTTTTTTTTTTTAAGATGCTGGGGTGTGTGTCTGCCTATATCCTGGTTTGTCTTTTTTTTTTTTTTTT